AACCTGGTTGCCGAGTTCACGAAGCGAATTGGCTTGTTCTACAACGTCGTTGCCAAGCAACGAAAAAGGGGGGGGGTAGGGGGGGAGGAAAATACAGGGGGACGGGTCTTCATTTGTTGCTTGACTTGGTGGTTGGGTGGGCGATTGACCGCGCGTCCCTTGGTCAGACTCATACCGCATACACCGCCAGCAAGGGAAAATGACACGTATTTTATGTGCCAAGTACCCGGCGGAAAAAATGCGTGCGACCAAATCATGGCACCACTATCGGTACACAAAATGAAAAGGTACGCGCGGCCAAATCACGGAATAAAGGTTCACATATATAAAGGTACAACCCGTGCCTCCTTACCCTGTCGTCTGCGGAACACACGAACCCGTAGGAGCCGTCGCCTATCGGCTCGAAGTTCGAATATCTGCACCCGCGATTGCAATACGACGAACGACAAAAAAAGCAAAGAACGCATTACAGATAAGGTGAGTTCGGGGCCGGGAATGGCGAGGAGGGAAACGACGAGAAAGGAAAGAGGCCAACAAGCGATCTTTCTGCCCGCAATTTCGAGCGAAGCTGCTCGTTGCTCCCGTGCGCCAGAGAGGGCGAACAGAAACCAAGTTGGACGAAAAGAAACAAGAAAAACACAAGTATGTAGATATCTTCTTCGTGTAGTTGGCCTGCTTTGCCACGGGAGGCGTCCGCGTTAGTTGGACCGGCACGGACGGTAGAAGGCATTGAGCCGAGACGGTAACGGGTCTTCTCGCGAAGGCAACAACCGACAGCCGATAGCCGAAAATCAACCACAATACCGCGAACACACTAGACTAGACATCTACTACTTATTCCTTACGACAGCAAGGCACAACGAGAGAAAAATGTTGTAACCGACCACCACCACCACCACCACCACCGGAACGTTCCGCCGCCTCGACCCTCACCGAACATCCGTGTGGAAGGTCTCTCGCCCCACTCGCTGCGAGTGCGACCGCCAGCCCGCCATGGTCTGTTCCCCCACGAGATTACGCTTCCAGCACCTCCCAAGCCCCTCTCTCCCGATCACACCCCAAGCGTAGGCGTAGGCGTGCCTCTCTCTCTGTGTAGGTGTGATATTTCTTCCGCTTGTAGATATGTAGTGACCCCTTCTTTGTTTCTCACGCCTCGTATCGTGTCAAGGCGACAGGGCTACTGGCAAAAACCTTGGTGGTTCGTTGGACGCCAGGCATCCAAGGCGTTGTCCATTTAAAGAGTCCAACGCCGCCCACTGCTGCTGTATTCCGATACAGTTGGCACCAAGAGATCTGCCGCCCACCAGCGGCGTAGGTAGGTTAGTCCACACCACAACGCGCAACGTTGCACACGGCAGCAGCAAGCACAGCAGATTTGCAAGTCATCGCAGACAGCAGATCGTAGCCAAACAGAAGGCAGTGAATCCACGGCAGCAGCAAAGGTAGGTCAGGAAATACCGTCGTGGACATGCCGGTTGCAACGAGGCGCAGAGTTTAATGGAAGCACCTGCTTCACAGACCGCCAATGAAGCACTGGATGTCGCCGAGTCTCGTTCGAAGCGGCGGTGGAACTGCGTGTGTGCATGAGGCGCAAGCCTCAAGCGCTTGGGACATGATTTTTTCCAAACGCGCGGTCATGCCCTGTGAAAGATGGAGATACCCCCTGCTTACGTGAAATGAACAAGTAGAGGACATTGGTTGCTGCGCTATGTGCGAAACAACGGAGCTTTCGGTGCTGACTTTCCTTAAACTACAAGCAAAAAGTAAATTGTCCAGATATTTTTCTCGGGTAAGCGAATCAATCACACTCCCCCCGCTTGATTACCGACCACAATGCTTGCTCTACATTTTTACCGTGTGCAGAGTACGCGGGGCATTGAGCACATGTGACGTGTCTAATGCTGCTGTCGCATGTAAATCATTGTCATTCTCCTACCCATCTTCATACCGGTATATTTTTAGGCACAACAACTGTTTACTACAGGCTGACGACCGGACGAAGAGTTTTCCTGGGCGTTGAACGGCTAGACTCTGTTGTACTTCGCGTCTACCTTGCGGTAAACGTTAAATATGTAGCCGCGGTGTACTGCGGTACGGTGCCGGCACCATCATCCAGTGGCTCTTGATACACGGTGCCCAGCTTGCTGCGGAAGACGGCGGTCTCTGCGTCTCTGCATGCCATTTATGGTGCATACGATAGATACGTTGTTCGGACATTTCATTTTTGCTTGTGCATGTTACGATATGCAGTTCGACGACCCCTTGACGAACTCAACCGCCGCCCTTCGTCGATTTCATCATATTGGTACCACTTACTTCTTTTCTTCAGCACGCCTTTCAACCCCGCTGTTCGACATGAATGTACCACAAGAAGAGTGCCATTCCTGTGGGCCCACTGCTGTACACAACACAGCAGGATCGGCTGCCCGGTGTAGACTACACATGCAACTACAGCAGCTACCGCTCGCTGCGGCGGCCATGCACAGAATCAAACTTCAGAAAGATAGACCGCACCACTTGAGACAGACACCTGAGCTGCTTTGCGCGAGATGTGATGAGCACACGAACACGGAGCCAGCAATAAATGTCATGCTCATCATACCGAAACGATTCCAAACTCTCCAATCTCAACCAGCTGGATTGTAGGCGTAGTCGAGACGTCGCGACCGGACGCAAACCGCTAGTATCAATACTCCCAAAGGGGGGACCCTGCGGTTGCACACGCGAGGGTCTAGCGATGGCTGGCTCTGTATTCTGAAAGCAACCTCGAATCGATAGGCAGCAGCGTGCCAGCGGCGTTCCAAGTACAGCAGTCAGCAACCTGATGGAAACAAGGAACCTACTAACCAAGGGTGCCATGGACCACGTGTGTGCCCAGATCTCGTCTCTAACTGCCGCTGCTGCTGCTGCTGCTGCTGCTGTGTTACCACGACAGCACCAACATACATGGACTTAGTTTGCATCGCACCTTGACCAAGAATTTCCGCGCGTAGGCCGCTCTAGCACTCGGCGGTCTCCCTCCCCACCGACGTTCGTGTGCCCGTTCTGTGGCTTGAGAGCGCCAGTTAGATGACAGTCCGGCACCAGTTTCTCCGTCAGTGCAGTGGTGCGCCCACAGAGCAAGGAGGCGGGTAGGCTGTGCGTACCCGCACACACAGCCGGATCATCTTAATATCATTTTTTTTTATCGGAACGGAACGGGGCGGGGGGTGAGGGGGCACCGTATTATCATACATGCGGTACCATTGAAGTTCCCGCGTGTGTTGATGTCGGGATCGTACATTATCAGCGTGGTCCGTGCGTGTACCGGTGCCGTGGTGTGTAGCGCGCTGCGGGAACCTCTCGGGTGAGTGGCGATGCTATCGCGGGCGGTGTGACATGTGCTCGAAATCTCCCCTTCTTTCTTTTGCACAAACATCTGTAGCTCCAATATCTACAGGTACACATGTAGCACTTTCTACCCCTGCGACAAAAATGGCATCATGTCATCACACCGCAGTTACGGGGTTCTCTGCAAATGGATATGCACGTCTAGGCCCCGCACAAGGAAAGAAAGTATTGCAGTTACTCTACACCCAATGATTTAGTTGTTTAGATTCCCCCCGCCCTAGAGCAGAAAATTGCTTGAATGAAAAACACATGTTGAACGTGTTCCACGTTAGGGTTAGGGTTAGGGTAAAAAGCATGTGTTCATGTGTTCGCCACAAGGCGCGCCTGTGTTGTACTTGTACACCTGTACAAGCACCCAATGCTTGACGTCCCTCGAGGTACGTCAAGCATGTCGTACCTGCCAAACGTGAAACACTTGGTTAGCCGGGATATCTAATCAACCCATGACAGAACCGCAGGAGGGGGTCCACCCCCCCCCCTCCTATGTGACCCCGGTTGGGTCGTCTAGCTAGTAGAAGTGGAGGATAGGGGCTAGAGGGGCAGACGGCAGAGTCCAATGATGGGAGAAAAAAATAGATACTTCGAAGTATATATTTATATATATCTCATGGGTTCGAGTCCCGACAGAGAGAGTTTTTTCTCGCTAATAACATCCTGGTCTCCGTTGGAAGCGATGCGCTGCAAAGCTCGTTGTTCGTAAACTTGATCGACTTCTTAAGTCGCGAGGGAAGGGATTGCTGTACCCTTCTCGCGATAAAAATATCTCAGGCAGGAACCGCAGGAGGGGGTCCAACCCCCCCCGTCCTATGTGACCCCGGTTGGGCCGTCTAGCTGGTAGAAGTGGAGGATAGGGGCCAGAGGGGCAGACGACAGAGTCCAATGATGGGAAGAAAAAATATTTAGATATATATATGTGGTTTGGCAGAGAAGCAAACAAACCGTGCGGTCTGGGGCTTGGGGGTCTCCGTGCATATCGCGCCCCCCTTTGGGTGGGGTCAACTCTGGAAAGGACAAGTATACGAATTTTCTCTGGTGCTCCCTTCAACCCCCGATAGTTCCTACTTGATACCGTATCACGGTAGATTCTGCTGATATCAATTAAATACTGTATGACGCGGGGCGATTCGGGGACCACATGACCGTCCTGTTCCCTCCCCTCCCTCTCCTTTTCTGTCCCCCAACACCCCACCCTGTCGAAACCCCACGGTGTACATACCTCATCAGCAGGCGCACAAGATAGCACATCTTTTGCCGCAACGACACGTCGCCGGATGCCCGCTGGGGCGAACCCGGTTTCTCGGCCTGTCCGGATCGCTACCGCGGGACACTTCCTCACTTTTTCGTCGTTCTCTGGAACGTTCCCGGCTCGGAGCACCCCGCTGCCGCCCTTCTCCTTCTCGTGCTTTTCCACCACCGACGGCGGCGGCGGCGGCAGCGGCAGCAAACAACGCAGTCTACTCAGCACCGCCACTCGTCACCGCCCGCCGCTAGCAGCAGCATCGCTCGGGCTTCGGGGGCAACAGAAACCGCTGCTGCTCGGGCGGCGCTCCGCGAGGGGTTCCGGTCTCTCTGCCGGTTGGGCCTCGGGGCGCTTAAGGATGATGAGCGAGGAGGGTGGGGCTGATGGCGCCACCTCCACGGCCGGTTGCGACAAACAGGAAGGCGGGTCGGATTCGGGGGCGTCCGGTGGTGGTGGAGGGGCTAGAACGAAAGGGGGGCGTGGCGGCGAGGCATTCCCGTCCGTTACGCTCGACGCCGATGCGGTCCAGAAGTTCGCCGAGATCCAGGTCCGGTGGGGTGAGTTTTGCTGGCCTACAAAAGGCCAGGGGCCCTCCGGTTGTTCACAAGAGACAGGTTTGGGGAGCGCCCCCCGAGCGGCGGGACTGTTAGACGGGGACGAAATACGTGGTGCCCGGGACAAGCCGTAGGGCATATGGGGGGGGAGGTCACCGTTTGCCGCGCGCTCACGCGAGTAACAAAAAACAATGAGGTCCTCGTTTTTTTTACACCCGATTTTTTTTTTGGTGTTTTCGCGCACGCGAAGCGCAGGCGGCACGGACGAAAGCTCTGAGCCAACTATCCTGATCCGGGGCCTGAAATCTGCCAAATACCACATCGAAGCGGCTGAACCCACGATGGCGCGTTTGCGGGAGGCTGGAGCAGACGCCACCGTTACCGGCGGCGGGCGCATCAAGCACAGCAGCAAGAGACGAAGCATATTCATCTATGGGTGAGCGAAACACTTTAAGTAGTCTGGTTGGAGCGACGCTCGCGTGAACATGTGTATGCGTATGTTTTTTTCCGCCATTTCTTCTGCGGGCGGACTGGAACACAATTGCTGCTTGAGGCTGGTTTCTCGAAACAGCGGCAAGCGTGCGTGAAGTTGGTGCGGGCAGGGGAGGAGTGCCTGGAGGGGTATTTTTCTCCAAGACGAGCTAAGGTTAATGGGTTTCTCACGCCTCCCCCGCTGCGACGGTGGCAAAGCAGTAGACGCGTACACGATCGGTACGTCCCGATGCTCCATACTGCTGTACCAGTAGAGCTATGCGGAAGGAACGACGGGAACGAATCGTGGTCACGGGTATCTTGTGTCGGTTGTTGGTTGCGGCTGTCGTTCAGGCGCGCATCCCAAAGACACACCGTAGTCGCCCCACACACCACCAAAAGACGGTACAGCAGTATTACGTGGAATTTCACCGTTTCCGTATCCGTCTTGTCAACGGCGTGCACGGTGTTTGTTCCTCGCTTTCAAAGCTATCCTCTCTTTTTCAGTAGCATTAGTACCATGGCACACCTACGCAAAAGCGACTGATCGATCGACCCTGCTTTTTCTTTCAATGTGCATGTCTGCGACCGACCTTGTTTCCGTCCGTTCGCCTACGAACGGTCCGGAAGATTCGATGCGTGTGCCTGCGGGGATGAGGATCTGGCTTGTCACCCCAGCCAGGCGTGGTCGATGGCAGATATTGCGTGCTCGTTTCAACAACGAGCGCGCCACACCACCGATGGCTCCCCCACCCAGAATACATCACTTGTCCAAACACTGCTATGATAGATAGCGCGGGCAAATGAACAGATACAATTATTCTTCCCCCTGAACTTCGTACGGCACCCAAGGATTGGTTCGTGTGGTAGCTTTTTTTGTATGACTCCTCCCCCTTCCCTCATCGTTCGTGGGTGCTCTACCGAAATGAAAAACGTTGGCAACAACAACAACAGGTACAGCATGCAGTTTGGCCCGGCGAACCTCCCGCGAGTGGCCGACCTTTGCCGGAAGCAGTTTCCGTCGGACTACGAGGTTACTTGGACCGAAGGCGGTTACTAGTTGCGCCCCCTGTTTAAATAGGCGGTGATTACAGCTGCAGCAGAGTGCACTCTATTCAGCAGTGGCCCGCCCCTCAACAACGTCGGATGGATACCGCCTCCCTCAAAAACTGGGCACAGACGGAGTCACCACAGTCATTCTGTACAGTGAATAGTGTTCCCTCTGAATAGCGCCGGTCGATTCGCCGGGAACAAACTGGCGTTGTTTAGGGCCACTACTGAAGGGGCTCGGAGACAATAAAAACATCTTGGCTATTGCACGGGTCAACGTGCTGTAGGTATGAGTCAAATCTGTGGGGGCTACGTGTATGGGTAGTGTGGGGGGGGTACGAGTGGATCCTTGAGAGAGAGAGAGAGGGGGGGTGGCGGGGGGGGGGGGG